CAGTCAGGAATACTATCTCAAAGGAAGATATCGTAAAGATCTTAAAATCGGTATTTATAATACGCGCTATATACCAGGTCACAGAAATTGAGAACATTGACGATTTCCCTGCAATTCATGTATATTGTGACCATCAAAATTCTCATTGATTCCAAAATCCCCCAGTAAAGCTTTATTTAACCTGAGTGCAACTTTGTGCAATATGTTGAATGTTTTTTTGATTGTAACTTTTACTGATGACAATGCCAACTGTGCAGTGGTTATTGATTCTTCATTACTTCCAGGTTATGTTGGCAATTGAAGGAATGAGGCCAGACTTTTATTATCCCTTGTTTCCGAATGAACAGGAGCTGAAAATGAAATAAAAATAAAATTTTATTTTATTAATTTAAAAATAAAATTTTATTTCAGCGTAATTTCTTGTGCCCACCGACTTGTGAGTGCAAAAAATTGCTAAAAAAAATTATTTTTATCTTCATTTTGTTCCTCGCCCGCTGCCTAGAAAATCCAAGTTGCATTTTCGTGGGGGTATCATGATCAAAGTACCGAAGTCTCGCACAGATCTATACTTTATGCGCATTGGTTGATGGTGAATCTCGGGTATTGATCTCTCTGTGTGCTACTAGGCGGCGGCGAGATTTGTGGTGACACGCTGTCAAACTCTGTAGTCAAAAAACGAGAAATCACTCATTAATGCTGAAAATTGTGCCACAAATGGCGACATTACCAACCAGGTTTTACATGGAATAAAAATTTATTTAATTTCTTCTCTCTGATCAATCATCTCACTTACAATTCTTTGAGAATAACACAAATCTAATGGAAACAAAGAATTAATTTAATTTTTTTTCCACCCTCAAAAAAATATAAATATGACTTATAAAAACTTGATAAACATGGAATAAAAAAAAAAGTCGGGCCTAACTTTCTAATTAGAAAACAAAATAAAATTAGCAGAAGTGCAACATTATTTTGTATTTCTGGACAGAAACTTAGGAATGTAATAAGTGAAATGGAACCACAGCCATGTTATGTTTCTTTAATAATCTTGTGATAGCTCAGTATAAATTTCTTTTAATTGTATGTTTTATTGTATTTCTTCTTCACTTTCATACAAATTCAATACATAATTTAGAATTATAGAAACATCCAAGATATTGTGTTTCAGTGAAATGTTCAACTGTTGCCATATGACCATTGCAACACAAAGAGAACCCCAACTTAATTCATGATTTTAAAGGGGTGGGATTTAGCCAAGCACCCTCCTCAGTAAACTGCTGAAATGTCAACTTATGCTCACTGCACAACATGTTTGGAAACGTATTGTCTGTTTTAAAACAAGAAGGGAGAAAAATATATTGTCAAGTATGGTATGTCATGTCATCAGTGAGCATAAAAAAATATTACTGACAGAAAAAGGCATTTGTGTCTTTGTGCAAGAAGAGTCTTTGCCTGCAAGTACAAACACCTGTATTGAATCAGGAATGTCCATGATGCAATCACTTGCATGTGAACTGAAATCATGACGACATTGAATTCTTACCCATAATTCTCAATGTCTGATTATATTACAGGCTGCTTTGCGTAGAACTAGTGCCATTCTGAAGAGTCAGAAGCCTGTCACTGCTGTCAAGAAGAGGACACGTACTAAGCGAGAATAATTATTAAAATCAGTTATCAACTGTATATTGAACATTCTTGTATGGTTTCAATAAATTGATTTCTTTGTGAACCAATCTGTCAATTCTTGTTTTGAATGTATTATCTTCTACAAAATACTATGAATGTGAAGAACAAATCACATTACAATGTTCATTGGTTTATTATGCACATGCATGCATGCAGCGATAGTTACATGAAACAATATTTTCTGTATTGCAGTACTGAATTTTGATGAAATTGCATGGAACACAATGTAAAAAAAATTCATATTTTGCCACATTAAAACCCAGATTTTAAAAATAATTCAGTGATTAAAAGTACACCTGAAACTAGGCACGAATCATGCAACAACCAATCACACCCCATAAATATTTATTCACCAACCAGATACTTTGACTGGATCAAGTGTCGGCCATTTTAAAAGCATAGTGAGGGCGCTGTCCACAAGATAAGTCTTGCTTGCAAAAAATATTGAACAAATTTAAAATGACACTAACCTCGGTGAACAAGTAATGGTTCATAATTTATGTATGTGCATGTCTGTTCTACCAGTATTTTGAGAAATGTACACATTTTGATGAAATTTGTACGCTAGGGTAATCTTCAGAACCCTGCAACTTCATTGACACATCCTTCCAAATGAATTTCCAAAAATAGGGTCTCATGACAATAAAACGTCTCATAGCAACGAGAAAAATTACAGCTGGAACAACACTGCCAACTTTTTTACTTCCAGCCAAATATGATTACAGCTGGAACAACACTGCCAACTTTTTTACTTCCAGCCAAAATATGACAGGTGGACCAAATTGAACCACTGCATTAGGACATTTTATCATAAAATGGACATTGGGTAGATAATCTTTATTATTGTTACGTCATCAAAACACCAATCAGAGAGCAGCTTGTTTGATAAGTTTATTTGATGTATCAAATTGTATATATGCTTCTACTAAACATAAGCTCTGAGTTCTGAAAATCACTTCCTACGTGATCCAAGTCATAACTTGGGGTCAGTTTTGTTTACAATGTATATATCCCAAGATCTGCTAGTACCGGGGTATGTTAAATTTGTCAAAATTAAAACAGTTAAGGCAATATTAAAACAGGTAGGGAACATTACTATTGTATTCCACACACATTGTTTATATAATCATTTGCTTATTCATGCTTTTCAAACTATTTGCTTAAAAGCGTGGGCTTGCAACTATAATTTTCTCATCTAGTTCAAGTAACAATTGTGCCATTTTGCACCACGATTCTGATAAGTCAACCAGTTCTTTATTTCTAGGAATACCAATACACTTACTCCACTGTGTTGGTATCGGTGTGTTATGGCCATGGATTTTAACTTCATAGCTCTGTGAGGATTGCCTTTAGGCTCTCTTGATAGAATCTTTTGCATCGTATCTATCGAAAACAATATCTACAGCATTCATATCTCTGTAGAGGTTGGTGAACTATTTTGAAAAGCACCTCAGCAAGTTCTCCGAAGTAGGATGCACCTCCTTGTTTAACCATCTGCAGAATAGCCATGCCGTCTACCATCCATGCTGTTGGAATGTGTTGGTGTTGTGATTCCGCTTCTTTCTCTAATTCAGGCAGTAGCTTACCTTTTGCTGTTTTTAGCAGAGAACCATAAGCATGGGCCAATTGAACTGTGGACTGCTCATGCTTGAAAACATCTTTGAAATTAATTTCTCTTGTTAAAGCAGCTACTAAAAGCCGACTAAACAACTCTCTATCTGCATTGGTGGCCGCTGTCTGCTCTCCACCAACCTTCTTCTTTATTTTCTTGCCCATAGATGCGAATGTGTTTATGTTATGTCTATTCAATGGTTGAAAAAATCCTATTCTGTTTGTATTTAGTCTGTCTTCCACAAATTGATCCATTGCTTTCATTCCTATGTCGATGGCATTTATAAGCCAAGTAGAAATTGCTGGTGGTACCACTATGCCAGTGGCAATGTTGATAAGTGATGCCAGGCCCACTTCTATGTCAAATGGGTCTGCCATGTAGTTAGTGACAGTGCTAATTATCTGATTGACATCTCCTTCATCGCGCTGTATGCGGCCTGGAGTAGCTTCTTTGTGCTTTGCATGTGTGTCTCCCACCATATCACACATCACTTTCATAGAGGTTGTAATAGATGTGCGTTCATGAGCAGTGATAAACCATCTAGCAAGGGCTCCTGGTTGTAAAGTAAACCCAACAATCCCACCTTTTACCTTACTATCACGGTTTACTGTTTGTTCGAGTGCCATATCTGTCCAGACTTCACTTATTTGTTGAACAAGCAACAGCATGATTCCCTTGTACAAATTGTGCATATACTTTAAGGAACAATCTGGTAGAAGCTTCATGTCACTTATATACACTGACACCCATCCAGTGGCGGATCCAGCAAAATGTATTGGGGGGGGGGGGAAAGCTTCGCTTAAGATATACGGAGCAAAAATCGTACACAAGCTATGCGTAATCCAGATGATATGAATCGTCATGCGTTTGGGGTGTGGCTCCCCCTGGATCCGCCACTGCACCCATCGGGCATAGTTGGTACGGTCAATAGCAAAGAATAGTGGCAACATCTCTATAACTACTGCCAGATGTAGTTCCCAGTTGCTTGCTCATTCAGCTCTTATAAATCGCAACAGGATATTAACCATTTCAATGTAATCATTCCAGAAAGTGAATGTTTGTGATGATGCACTTCTTGTAACGCAGAATCTGTTAAGTGCATCATGCACAATATTGATGGCGTCTCTTAACTGAGAGAGCGCTACTTCCAGACTAGGTATGTTATCATTCAAAACAGCAGACTGACACTCTTGAAGTTTGTCGTTGATGAAGTCAACATCACAATCTATCTCATTGCCTTGTATTCACTTACAAAATGCCTGCCACCTTAGTCAAAACAGGGCCTCCATTACCAGTTTGTGAGTTCTTACTCCACGATTGTAAGTTTTGCCTTTCAGTAGATTACTTGTTGTACTGCTGCCATACATCTGTGATTCTATAAGGATGTCTTCAATACCACTGTCAGCATATTTCTTTCCAATCACTGCCAGGAATGTTAGTGCTATGTGGAAACCACCCATTCTCAATACTGTTTTGTTAAACTCTTCTACACCTCCACTGAATTTCTTTGGCTTTACAGTATATAGCCTTGTCGAATGTCAGGACACTGTAATCTTGCCCAAGTATCCAAGTCATCTTGCACACATTTGTATCACTGTATACACAGTGCTCCATTCAGTAGGTGATGCTGGAAGCATTGGGCAGTACCCAATTGATGTTACTTTTGGTACTGTTAAGAGGAAATCATTGAACTGTAAGCTGTCCATCCAGGGATTTGCTGGGTGGTAAGCCTTTCAAATTCAACTTCAATTAGCTTGATAGGACAACACCTAACAATAAGCCATTGTAAATCAATGTTAGCAGCTTGCTGACATGATTCAATATCAGAAAACCATTTACTGTCTACTTTCCCAAGAAGATTTGGATTAGGACGTCTTCCATGACGATTGTACTGTAGGATTGTGTGACAAATTGTTGGGTTACTAAGTGCTCGTTGTCTAGGTGGTATTATTTCCCCCTGCATCTCAGTTGGTACTATTCCAAAACAGCCTTCCGTAATTACTGGATTGAGGCGCTGATGCACTACCATAGTTGTGGCATGGGTTGTGTGTTTCCCATCTAATGTTTCTTCATTAATATCATCATTGTCTGCAGCAAACTGAACAAAAACTC